ACGCTTTGGAAAGGTCAATAAATAGAGCTGCACAACTCTGCTTTTTATCTAAAATACTTGTAATGTCATTCACCACTTTCATTGTGGCAGTGATGGTGCTATGTTGCTTTCTGAAGCCTGACTGATGTTTAGACAGGATGTCATTTGTACATAAAAACTCCTTTACCTGTTCACTCACTAGGCGTTCAAGAACCTTAGCCAGAACTGACAATTTCGAGATTGGCCTATAGTTATTTAAAACAGTTGCCTCCCCTCCTTTTAGTAGTGGCAGGACATACGCTGACTTCCATACTTTAGGAATTGCATTTGTGCTGAGGGAGAGGTTAAAAAGAGTAGTGAGAGGTGGAGCAATAAAATCTGCAGCTATCTTTAAAAAGAAAGGTTCTACGTTGTCCGGGCCGGCCGGTTTCTTAGGATCTAACTTAGATAATGCTTCATGAACAACATTTACAGTAAAAGGAGTAAAACTGAAAGGGTTTTCCAGACCACATTGTTCAGAGTCACCGACTGTGGTGTTCACAGAAGCAGAGTTAGTCACAGAATCAAACATAGAACCGCAGGACACAAAATGCTCATTAAAACAATTTAACATAGTAGCCCTGTCCGATATAGAGCCAGATGTTGTGGTAATGCACGGAGGTAGCTCATTTCGGATCTCACCGGTGGATAGCGATTTATGGCTTTCCAAAATTTCCTAGGATTATTTAGGTTTTCTGTAGTAACTGACAAATAGTACTTCGACTTAGCACTTTTGACATGTGAAGTGAAGCTATTTCTTAGCTGCCTAAAACGCAGCCATTCTACCTCTGAGCCTGATTTCCTAGCCTTTGCCCAGGCCTTGTTTCTCTCATGTAGGAGACTGGACAGTTCAGCAGAAAACCAAGGATTGTCTCGTCCCTTTACTCTAAAAGTACGTAGGGGTGCATTTATCTATAATTTCCATAAAACCAAGATAAAAATAAGACCATGCGTGTGTTTTGCACAGTGATATCTCTGGAACCCCTTATCCCATTTTGATGGTTGACATCTCATTTGAACAGTCAAAGCAAGTAGAATCAATGGGTGGCAGACATAATGACACCAGGGGTGAATTTCATGTTATCATTTTGCAGTAAGTTCAAACATAGTGCTTACTGTACATTACTGTATATTATAAAAATGCTTGCCATGTAGGCTGTGTTTACTGGAGATGGAAATGCTTCAGTTGGTGTTGTAGCTGAGATTTTTCCCGTTCCAATGATGTATGGGATGTATTGATTTGATACAAGCAAGTCAGTGTTTCATTGTGTACTTTCAACTAGAGTATATGGTCCGGACCCACCAGTGGGCCCATCAAGTTCAGCGTTCACTGCATTCACTGTGATGAATATAAAATAAGACACTGATACTGTTTTCCTCAATGAACATTTAGAGACAAATAAATATTCAGGGCTCCTCTCTCTCAGGGGCCTCTCCCTCAGGGGCCTCTCCCTCAGGGGCCTCTTCCTCAGGGGCCTCTCCCTCAGGGGCCTCTCCCTCAGGGGCCTCTCCCTCAGGGGCCTCTCCCTCAGGGGCCTCTCCCTCTGGGCCTCTCCCTCAGGGGCCTCTCCCTCAGGGGCCTCTCCCTCAGGGGCCTCTTCCTGGTCTGTTGACTGTTGGTCAGGCTCATAATCTGGATCGCTGTTGTCTTCCATTTCTGAGACATCGTCCTCTATGTCTGGTTCAATCTCCTCTTCATCTGGTTCAAAACATCAGTAATGGAGGGGCATTTACTGCAAGAAAGTGAGAGGTTTTTCTTTCTCGAGGGGCACAGAGCTCGCACCTGTGAGAAGGTGAGAGGTTCCCGTAACTTAGAGTAAATTGTTTTGTCTGGAAGGTGATGGGGGGACATAAGCACAAGAAGTGTGTGTGTGTGTGTGTGTGTGTGTGTGTGTGTGTGTGTGTGTGTGTGTGTGTGTGTGTGTGTGTGTGTGTGTGTGTGTGTGTGTGTGTGTGTGTGTGTGTGTGTGTGTGTGTGTGTGTTTACATTTTGTTTCTTTCTTTCTCTTTTTCAGGCCAAACCAGTGAAGCGAGGCTCGGCCAACGTGTCGTTCGCGGATCTGTCAAAGATCGGCCAGCCGCCCAACACCAACAAGTCCTAGAAGCATCTGAGCTAATTAACAACTGCAGAGTGTAAGTAATATATTTTATAACATTACAAATATAGCAATATTTACATCGAATATGGTTGAAATATACAGTATGTATACCCGTAGAAATAAAATAGGAATAATACAGTATATCAATAGAGTATCTAAGGAATGCAGTGGGGTAGTGTGAGTACAATATGTGCACATTGTACATATGTGCTACATGGTTAAGCTGTACTGAAAAAAACATGTATACAGTATAATAATATTCAATGGTTAGACTAACTGTAGATCTCTCCTGTCAGATAACGTCAGCTCAGTGAGGTAAAGGACTCTCTCAGTGTTTAGATAGTTAACTTTTAGTTAGTTATCTCAGTGGGTCTCAAAACAGTTTGATCACCATTTAAGTAAACAAGTATTTCCGAGGCATATGATCATGTTAAGTTAATAGACATACAATACAAGTCTCTGCCTCACATGATCCCAGGTACACAAGTGCAGTCGCTTTCATTAATAATAACAATAATATACACGTCTAATAATAAAAAGCAAAAAAGCGTAGGAACTGGAAGAAAAGCAAATTAATCCTCTTGAAATAGAACATGTCAAATATGAACATTAATCCTTTCAATTGGCCTATGCATACAAATATGGTACGCTTCAAAATTGTCCTACGTGTTATTCCAGGTTGCAGATAAGCAATTCCCAAGCTCAGATGACAAGCTGTCCCTTGTCACCGAGCAGAGGAACGCGATCCTGGCTGCCTGGAATGCAGTGGAGGACCACGACAAACAGCAGCAGAAGTTCAACCAGCTGTACAGAACGCACTGGGGCAACACCCTGTACTGCCGCACTAAACGGCACAACCTTGTCGATGCTGCTGTGATACAGCGCGTGAAGATGGGCATTCGCTACGCACCAGCACAACAGGACATTAGTGCAATGAACAACAGGCTTATGTACACGCTGGTGAAACTGCTGTGGTTGAAGTCACCACAGGGTTCTCACACTAGCCCTGAGAAGACCACTATCTTGAAGGCGTACGAGAGGATCCAGCACCGGGTTTTGGAGTAGGAGCCAAAGTGTCCGGGTTCAAAAGCTGCCGTCGTGCACGTGCTGTGGCCAAAGTCTTCTGCCCTGTGAAGAGGATGTCTCCATCAAAGGGTCTGGAGAACACAGTCTACAACAGTTACCAACATTTTACAGCTGTTGTTGACGAGTTGGAGCAATGGCCTGTTGCTATGTAAATATTGTAAATAGTAATTTAAATGTTTTTCAACTTGCTGTGTTATCATTTTTATTTTTCATGTTGAGTTTTATATTTATTATATTGTAAATATATGTACATTACATTACATGTTACTTGTTATCCAAAGCGACTTACATACTCAATACTGTGGGCAATCCCCACAGGAGCAATTTGGGGTGAAGTTTATTTTTCATGTCGACTTTTATATTTGATGTATATTGTAAATAGTTTTCATTCATATGTACGTCATTAATGTAAAAAGTGTAAATACTTGTATGTACATTACATTACATGTTACTTGTTAGACGCTTTCATCCAAAGCGACTTACATACTCAATACTGTGGGATGAAGTGTCTTGCCCAGGGACACAACGACATGCTGACTGCAGTGGGGTTTGAACCTGTGCTCCCCTGATCCCAACACCAACGCACTGCGCCACAGCCTCCCTGTACATAATTGTACATCTGATTTGTATCCACTTGAGCTTTTTTACCTGTGTTTATGTTGTTGCTGTTGCCATCCTTTATACTGAATCAATGAAGGTGAATGGTTGCTCAGAAAAAGTCCTAAAGAATCCAACTGGGTTCAATAGCTGGATCATTCCTGTTCTTCTTCTGCAGTGGAGTGAGATCTCGTTGTTGTTGACTTGCATAACAACAAATGTTAGTTTACAAGAAGTCATTGATACCCTAACATTTGATTCATACCTGCTGATGACAAATAAATCCTGGGATCTACAAAAGTGAATGTGTTTCATGCATCTGATTTGTATCCACTTGAGCTTTTTTACCTGTGTTTACCTTAGTTTATGCTGTTGCCATCATTTATACTGAATCAATTAAATATTTTGCCAGAAAGGTCAAACTTTAGGAATACAGAGCAGTTCTTATCATGCCATAACCATAGCCATGGAGGCAGTGCAAATTAAAATATAATATTGGTGACAAAAAACACACAGAGCCATCAGTGCAATTGTTACATTCTAATTTCTCTGATATTGTAGGCGTTAATTATCTATTTATTATATGTAAATACTTTTATGTACATAATTGTATTTATAATTGTACAGAATTTAACTGTAACACTATGGTGTTTTCAATTGAATGCACTTTATACAATAAAGTGGTCAGTGCTACAGTAACAGTGTGTCGTGAAATATGAATTATTAAATGCAATAATGGGGATTAATTTGTTTATCTAAATATAGGGACAAAGGTAGAGTGCCAAATTACTTGCACAGTACACTCAGATGACTTTGCCCAAAAGCAAACATTTAAGTTGCTTGAGTCAGACTCAGAAATATTAAACCACTTTTAAAATCAGACTCTCAAGTCATAAGGAAAACCATAAAGATATCTCACTGAAGAAAAGACACATTTGAATGAAAAAAGCTTTATTTGAATGAGACTTCAATTCAGAAAGACTCTTAAAATATAACTACAGCTCTCAGGACATCAGGAGGAGAAAACAGCTAGCTTGGCTCTCATAGTTTTCCCACACTCTTAAAACCACTATGGTTTTTCTCCTTTGTGAACACGAAGATGTTTTTTGAGAGCACTTGATGTAGTGAACGTTTTCCCACACTCTTCACAGCTGTACGGTTTTTCTCCAGAATGAATACGGTGATGTGTTGTGAGATTACTTGATGTAGTGAACGTTTTCCCACACTCTTCACACCAGTACGGTTTTTCTCCCGTGTGAATACGGTGATGTGTTGTGAGATGACCTGATGTAGTGAAAGTTGTCCCACACTCTTCACAGCTGTACGGTTTTTCTCCCGTGTGAATACGTTGATGTATTTTGAGATCACCTGATGTAGTGAAAGTTGTCCCACACTCTTCACAGCTGTACGGTTTTTCTCCCGTGTGAATACGTTGATGTATTTTGAGAGCACCTGATGTAGTGAAAGTTGTCCCACACTCTTCACAGCTGTACGGTTTTTCTCCCGTGTGAATACGTTGATGTATTTTGAGAGCACTTGATGTAGTGAACGTTTTCCCACACTCTTCACAGCTGTACGGTTTTTCTCCCGTGTGAATACGGTGATGTATTTTGAGATCACCTGATGTAGTGAACGTTTTCCCACACTCTTCACAGCTGTACGGTTTTTCTCCAGAATGAATACGGTGATGTATTTTGAGATGACCTGATGTAGTGAAAGTTGTCCCACACTCTTCACAGCTGTACGGTTTTTCTCCAGAATGAATACGGTGATGTATTTGGAGATGACCTGATGTAGTGAAAGTTGTCCCACACTCTTCACAGCTGTACGGTTTTTCTCCCGTGTGAATACGTTGATGTATTTTGAGAGTATCTGATCTAGTGAAAGTTGTCCCACACTCTTCACAGCTGTACGGTTTTTCTCCAGTATGAATATGCAGATGGCGCTTTAAATCTCCAGATGTTGTAAACGATTTGTCACATTGCTGACAGCTGTGACGTCTCTCTCTTCCTTTCGGTTTCTAGAACAGACGGACAGAGAAAGAGAGAAAGTCAATCTAAAAAGCATGAATACACAAGTTAACACAATAAAAACTCACTTAGTATAAACCTTGAGTTAACAAAATACTACTTATCAACTGTTTGGGTTATATTTGATACAGCAACATTCTAACCACAGTATATTCCAGAGGTGGGGGACTCGAGTCACATGATTTGAGTCGCATATTTTTTGACTTGAGACTTGCTTGACTAACATTGATAAAAAGACTCGACTTGTGTAGGGGTGTAGAGTTATTTGTTCAAGCACCGGATCGGCAAAACAGGAGAGTCTGTGAACCAGTCTGCCTTGACCTATGTATTCATGTCTGACTCTCACAGTATCTGCTGTCCGCAGCTGTTTTATAGAAACACACACACACACACACACACACACACACACACACACACACACACACTTTATGATTTCAGAGCCCCACTCTCCATTGTTGTTAATGTGGAAAATAAAACTCTAGTTTTCATAACCACCGTCTAAACTGGGGTAAACTCGTATGACTTGACTTGCTTGACTCTCACCCCAGTAACTTGGGACTTGCACATGTATGACTTACTCCCACCTCTGGTATACAAGAGACAGAGGGAGACGGCATCCTGTCACCGTCTTCGTCTTGTGTTTTTTTTGGTCTAATTATTGTCTAAACTTTGTCGTGTCTTTATGAAACATCATTTTCAGAGACCATGCTTTTGATCCTGTGGATTACATTTGCCTTCTGCAGACCATGTCTGGCCATACAACTTTCCAAGACACACCTGAGTGACAGCACGAACAGGTATGGCGAGGAGCCCCGGCCTCTACGCTGCTACAGCCGCGAGGCTATGCTAGAGCTACAATGCGATCGGCCTCCTACGAATACACCAAGCCATCTGTGCTCTTCGTTATTGGATGACATCCCTCGGGAGCCGCTTAGAAACACCAGCCGGCCACCACTTCCATCCATCATTCTCACAAACCTGCGCAACAACGTGGACCAGGGCTGAGAGGGCGTCCACCCCGAGAGCGGGGGGGGGGAGGGGGGGGAGGTGGCTCCATCCCTTATAGATACTATCTCTTTACGTTAGTGATGGGAATTCCGGCTCTTTTTAGTGAGTCATTTTACCACAGTTTATCACGGAGCCTCAGTTCACGCGCGAGCTCCGCGCTCATCGCGTCCAAATCGCGCACGTTCCGTGTTGTCCTGTGGCAGGCACCGCCGATGTCGGGGAAACGATCTTCAATACTCCGAAAAGAATCCCACCAGACTCCTTTGCCCCTCCAACAGAGGGATGTCCTTGTCCTTTTCGTCATTTCAAGCGATAAAAACTCTTTTGGACGCCCTCGGCTCGAGTTCAGGGCGTTCCGAGCTGAATAAGGGCGTCAAATGACGGCAAGACGCCCGCCTGGCGGAAACGCTGGAATTAGGAATATATTGTGATGAAGTGCACACTGACCTGAGCTCCAGGGGTCTCCTTGTTCTCCTCCATGCTGCTCTCCTTCTCCAGCTGGGTCTCTGAAATAATCAACACAACTACAGCTGACACAAAACAAGACAACTCAATGCAACCGACAGACACAACAAAACTAATCTACAGCTACTTCGTAGGTTCATAGCAGAGGTGAGAAGTAACTAAGTACATTTACTCAAGTACTGTACTTAAGTACTATTTAGAGGTACTTTTACTTTACTTGAGTATTTCCATTTAATGCTACTTTGTCTGCGACAATAGGAGACAGTAATAAAGCTGCTTCACTGAAGAGGAGAAACTCACAGCTCCAGGACTCTGTCAGTCAGGAGGAGACTAGAAACAACAAGTCAATAAACTGAGGATTCATCCTGTAACATAAAGGAGTTACCTAACAGAAACCAGTATGCTAACGGTAATAAAGAAGAGTTACCGTACTAAAACAATATGCTGAAGGTAAAAAGGGAGCGTTTACTCAAACTAAACGGTATGCATATAACTTATGAGTATACTGTGGGATAAATAATGTTAGAGAAAGTAATTAAGGTATTTCCTCCACCTGAATGAGAATAAAAGACACACACTTATATTGCTTATATTTAGTGTTTTATCACATTATGTGCAGTGCCTTGTCTTATGCTGCTGTGACGTAAACATGTTCCAAATTGATCAATTTAGTCAATGTGATGCTAAGCAGAGGAGAAAATTGTAGAAAGGTCAGATAGTTATTAACGTTACATGCAAATGACTTTAACCATTACGATAAAAAGTTATTATTATTAAATTATTATTAATATAATACAAATATTTAGATATAATTCTTCATAATCTGTGTAGCAACTTACATTCTAATTTACAGCTCACAGTTTGTTCACTTTTATTTCATTAAAATGACTTTATTCACATAGAAAATGACATTAATGGTTGTTTGAACCACGGTTATAACGCTATCTGTGTCATTAACTATCACTAAGTTAACACAGAAAGCAAACATTAGCTAGTGAGACTGTTTAATGTACTCCATGTATACAGTATTTTCTGTATATTGTGTATTCTTTAGATACTCTAGTCATGTGTCCTGTGTGTAAACTTGCTGCTAATGCTTCATTATTATTATATCTTATTGCATCTTTTAAATATGTTTAACTCGTGTAATGCCTGAAAACACTTCTGCTGTGACACAATCATTTCCCAGTTTAAGATAAATCATTATTTAAATAAAGTATATATATTTATATATTTTAATGAGCTAAACCGTCGCTTAGCTTAGCGTTAGCTGCTAACTGAAGAACCCCATTCATTTCAATGGGAAAAATGCTACGTCACGGTGAGTGGCGATGCTAATAAGCTAGTTAGCATATATTTAAAACCATATCTATGGTAAAGAGCACCAACACAACAACTCAAACTGTCTTAAAGACAACTGGTGTAATAAATAACTAACATAAAGTCAGCTGAGCATTACAAATAAACTGTTACTTACCCAGAGCCGAACTAGAATAATAACTGTAGCTGTTAGCCGTTAGCTGTTAGCGATAGCTTTTAGACGATAGCTGTTAGACTTTAGCTGTTAGCCAATAGCTTTTAGACTTTAGCTCTTATCCGATGGCTTTTAGCCTTTATTTAAAGATAATTTGAGACTATTTTTGTCACACATTTTAAGTTTTTTTGTGAGTCTCTTTCTTCCAAGATTACAGCTGTTGTGTTAAATAAGATAACTTCTTGTGAGGGCTACAAGCCTCACAAACGAACACACATCCTAAAGGTTATGCTTTTGTTTACATCAGACATACACAGACACATTGATTTGAAACAGCTTTGTTTTTGCTAGATTGAGTGCACGCAATATTGTTTAAAATATCTATTGTTAATTGTGTTGTGTGTAATCATATTGTCAGTGTCTTACAGCTCACCTTGCTCCTGGCCAAAGGCTGCGCTGATGGAAAACACCTGCCTTCATAGATGTGTCAGCTAATTGGACTACGCCATTCCTCTCAAACCCTGAGGGGTGTTTAAAGAGGCCACTCCATTTAAGCCACCCTTTTTTTAGAGCCTGTCCCCCCTGCACACAACAATGGACTGGCCAGTAGGGCTATACATTCCTGCAGTGTGGAGATGAGGGGGGGTATGTGAGTTGCTCTTGGGCAGAAGAGCACACAGGATGTCACCCATTTTTGTGACGTTTTGTTTATGCGTTAAATGCTAGATTGTGTATGTTTATATCTACACCTTTTTGTTTAAACCTAATTGATTTTATTACCCATCTTAAAACTGTACATATATTGGGTAAATAAAATCCTTATTTTTGCACCTCAATCTGCATTCCTGATTTTTGCGTACCCTGGTCCTTCACACTTCTGATTCCTGATTAACTGTAAACTAAGCTGGTGTAAATACACTTAATGAAACCTCTGCAGGGTTGCGGTCGAATACTCCAAAAAAAAACAGCTCCTAAATTCTAACCCTATGGTCTATTCCTTTACCTCGGAGTGAAACGTCATGGGGTTAAGGGATAGTGGATAGGAGAATTCAAAGGGATTTAGGAGAAGAGACTGCGGTACTTTAGAGAATCCGACTGCACTTTCACTATCCGACGTGTTTATGATGCGCCAGCAGAGGTCATAAATGTGCGCCTGCTGCTGTGGGGAAACTATGGAAACTACCGTTTTCTATACAGCGGACTACAACATGGATGTTTAATAAGAACGAGGGACTACTGTAAACTCATCTAGAGACTCTGCACCGTGCTCTGATGCTGTTGTTTTATGCTTTATGAACGGGGACAACAGAGAAACATATTCTTCATGACCAAAGTTGGAATTGAAATAAAAAAGGAAAGTGAAACTTATGCTCGTCACCCTCTCCCTCCGGTCCTCATTAATACAAATGATCCCAATGCGTATCATACATGCCAACCTTTCCAAATCCAAAAGAGGTAGGTTTGCGCGCGGCAAATGTGCACGCCCAAATTAGGTAATCAGAAGAAATGGAACCCCAGTAATTACATGTATAAACCATGTATTTAACATATATTGCATCATTTTATGCATTTTTCAGAAAAAGTGGTAGTTTGGTAAACAGTGACATCAACGACATGTTTGGTCTGTAAAATGCCCGAAAAGTAAAAGAATGGGAGATAAATATCCCAAAGTCTCCACATTTTATTATATTTTTAATGTGTTTCTGGTCCTCTTTCAGTTGCATTGTTGGAGAAGCCTGTGACATAAGATTTTCAACAACATAATTACTCTGTAGCTATGTTAGTTTGACAATAAAGAACCTTGAACCTTGACATTGTAGATCAGGGGTGCCCAACCTTTTTTGAACCGAGAGCTACTTTTAAAGTTGCCAGTTTGCCGAGATCTACCAGTCCAAATAGAGAGGCGTAGCCATTACTGACAGCCTACTACCAGGTAAATACACACTTCTACTTGTATAAAACTGACCTTTGTACGATTAATACTTCATAAAATACTGCATATCCTTTATCTTACCTCTTTCTAATCTACACACATACAAGTATTTAACTGAAGTTACACAACAGTGTTGTTGATACAGAGTTGGAGTTTATTCACACGTCACATACTACAGTGGGTAATGTTTTCAAGAAACATTGAACAGTGCTGCCACATATGACACAGGAAAAAAAGAAAAGACTCTGAACCCTTTCTTTGCCATTATATAAAAATAGTGTTGCTACAAAAGTATAAATTAGACTTACTAATAAGACAACTCAGATCTGAAGCTACACAGGAATCTGCTGCCAAAGTGCAATAAAAAAGACAAAATTAATAGAATCAAACCCTTTTTTTGTTGCATTTTAGTAGAGTATAAACATAAATGCCTTTAAAATAGGATACAAGCAACACTAGTTTCTTAACCTGAATTGATAATAGACTATAATCAATTTAAACAGAACAGATCTTAAAGTTTGCATTCTTATACCATTTTGTACAATCATTATAATGAATAAGTTCAAACAAACTAAAACGTACAGCTGATTAATAACGGTATCTAACTTGAGTTTTTATTATATCAAAAACCTGTTAAAATGCTACTGTTATTTTTACTGTCTCCAAAAAGCGCGTCGGCAGCCTCCAGGAATGCTTATTTCACAACTTCGCCGTCTTTGACAGACTTCATGTGTTTCGCAAGAACGTGACTGACACGATAAGATGCTATGGTAGCAGCCTTGCTCTTGTTGTTGGGCCTGGTGAAAATGGACTGCTGTGCATTTAGCTGTCCTTTCAGGTCCCTCACCTTTTGGGAGCGTAGGACAGA